GTTCTATGTTACAGAGCTGTTGGGTTCTATGTTACAGAACCGTTGGGTTCTATGTTACAGAGCTGTTGGGTTCTATGTTACAGTACCATTGGGTTTTATATTACAGAACTGTTGGGTTCTGTGTTACAGAACCGTTGGGTTCTATGTTACAGAACCCTTGGGTCCTATGTTACAGAATTGTTGGGTTCTAAAGTACAGAACCGTTGGGTTCTATGTTACAGAACCGTTGGGTTCTATGTTACAGAGCTGTTGGGTTCTATGTTACAGAACCATTGGGTTTTATATTACAGAACTGTTGGGTTCTATGTTACAGTACCATTGGGTTTTATATTACAGAACTGTTGGGTTCTGTGTTACAGAACCGTTGGGTTCTATGTTACAGAACCATTGGGTTCTATGTTACAGANAGGTGGTCTTCCTCAGTGTTGCTGGTCATGTGGTCTTCCTCAGTGTTGTTGGTCAGGTGGTCTTCCTCAGTGTTGCTGGTCATGTGGTCTTCCTCAGTGTTGTTTGGTCAGGTGGTCTTCCTCAGTGTTGGTGGTCAGGTGTTCTTCCTCAGTGTTGTTGGTCATGTGGTCTTCCTCAGTGTTGTTGGTCAGGTGGTCTTCCTCAGTGTTGTTGGTCATGTGGTCTTCATCAGTGTTGTTGGTCAGGTGTTCATCAGTGTTGTTGGTCAGGTGGTCTTCCTCAGTGTTGTTGGTCAGGTGGTCTTCATCAGTGTTGGTCAGGTGGTCTTCCTCAGTGTTGTTGGTCAAGTGGTCTTCATCAGTGTTGTTGGTCATGTGGTCTTCCTCAGTGTTGTTGGTCAGGTGGTCTTCCTCAGTGTTGTTGGTCAAGTGGTCTTCATCAGTGTTGTTGGTCAGGTGGTCTTCATCAGTGTTGTTGGTCAAGTGGTCTTCATCAGTGTTGGTCAAGTGGTCTTCCTCAGTGTTGTTGGTCATGTGGTCTTCCTCAGTGTTGTTGGTCAGGTGGTCTTCCTCAGTGTTGTTGGTCAAGTGGTCTTCATCAGTGTTGTTGGTCATGTGGTCTTCCTCAGTGTTGTTGGTCAGGTGGTCTTCCTCAGTGTTGTTGGTCAAGTGGTCTTCCTCAGTGTTGTTGGTCAGGTGTTCATCAGTGTTGGTCAGGTGTTCTTCATCAGTGTTGGTCAGGTGGTCTTCCTCAGTGTTGTTGGTCAGGTTTTCATCAGTGTTGGTCAGGTGGTCTTCCTCAGTGTTGTTGGTCAGGTGGTCTTCCTCAGTGTTGTTGGTCAGGACCTCAGTGACGAGTGGAGAACATGTAGCGCTGAGCTAATACATATATATGGTGATAGC